GAAAGAGGGAGCAGCAGTAGCAATGAGATCACATTGAACTTGCAAGCAGTTCAAGATGAATGAGGTAGAAAGCTTGTGCTTGAGAGTATTGGGCAATAAAAAGTGGGTTTAGATTTGTTTACTTAGGAAAACAGAAGTTTGGGCAAAATGACCAGAGAGGATTTAAGAAGAAGAAACCAATGCTTTTTTTTTTCTCAGCATCTTCATTAGCACCAAACTTTCACCAGCTCAGGTCCCCATCCTAGAAAACGGTCACTCTTAGGTAACAAATTAATTAACGGTATTTTCCAGGCCATAGTTACAAGACATTGAGCAAGTACCTTTGCCTAATATTCTCATTTGTAAATAAATAACGACAGCAGTTGTCAAGCTGATTCCAAAGCATGCCGACCCCATATGCATCAGAGTTGAACTGTGCTCGATAGGATTTTTCAGTGTCCAAATTTTTGGAATTATATTGACTTTCTTCTGAGGGACCTCTAGGTATACATGAACCTCTGTGTGTTCCGTCAACAGTCAAGTGTTTGTGTCACCCAAGATCCCCTCAATAAAACCAGTAGCATCAAGTTCATTCTGACTTATGACAAGCCCAAGCTAGTAATATTTATGAGCTACCTTAGTCTCACTCCGTCGAGAGATGCTGGGGAAAGGGGTGGGCCCTATGATTAATGAGGAAACTTATAGGAAAGATTTTTTTCCTCAACGTATGACAATAGCCATTTAGAAACATAATTTTTTATGAAAAGATCATTTATTGGGTAGCATAATTTTAAATATATATATGTTCCTGGCCCCACCTTCAAGAGGCCAGCATTCTGAACAGTTTGTGCAATTGTGGGGCTAGAGTTACCCAATCCTTTAATACAAATGGGGCTTTAAAAAGTTCAAGGAAAATATGGAATTAAAAGATGATGGAATTTCCCCCATGAACTTCTTGAAGCTTTCTTGTATTTGCCATCCATGACCTGAATATATGAGACCATCAGATCCCATAATGATGGTCTGGAAAAGTCACAACTTGTAGGAGCTCTGGTTTCTCATTGGCAGACTGGGGACAATCATCCTTGGTTTGGGGAGGTTTTTAAAAGTAAATTGTGAGACACAACTTAACCCAGTGCTCAAATCTATAGATGTGGAAATAATACAGGTCCCACCATCGCTAGCTACTCTGGGAGGCAGCCCTTGTACCACAGAGCTGACAAGGTTGAAACAACCATGACTTAAACAAATCACTCCACTCTCTCTATATGTATAGGAAGCACACATGCGAAGCAAAACTTTCTACATATCATGGAAAACGATTCTGATTGGCCTCATCCACACAATTGCTGCTTAGAATAACAGCTTAATTAAAGTTGAGCAGGGTCACCCGTGTGCCTATTACTTGTCACCCCGCCCTCCTCATGCTGCATCTCTACCAACTCCACCCAAGGTAAGAAAATCTTGTGTCTTCAGCATCTGTCTTCTCTGTCCCTTCTTCCTGCATCAACAAAGTGAAGGAAGATGCTGGCATTTTTACTTGTTAATGGATCGATTGTGTTTTGGTCCCATGTGCTGTATATTTGCATTTTAGCCTCTTGTTCTGGAACCCAAAGCTTTCTGCTTTAGAATATTCAGAGGCATCCAATTAGATATTGATGACTTTTTGCTCCCTCAATGCTTGTACTATTACTGTTCTCCTTGTTCTAGCTGCACTACCTTCCCTTCCTCGGATCCAATCTCTCACCGACTCAGTCTATGCACAGGCCTCTCTTTCTTCCCTTAAAAGGCCCCCAGGCTGTAGTATCATGCCCTCCTTCTCGTTCTGGCAAAATCTAGCTCAGATGTGGAGACAGTTGTGGCTTGAACTGTGCTTCTAAACATGAGATGTTGGCATCCTAACCTCTGCATAAACCATCATGGCCTTGTTGGGGGAAGCAGAGCTTGTCTTTGCAGAGATCGCCAGTCAATGGATACTGGTGCTTCTCAATAGGCTCTAACCCTATAATGCCCAGTGCGACATTTAATTCAATGTATATATTGATAACTATGAAAGTAAAGAATAAAAACAAAAACCCTTTTTTCCCCCTGAAATTAAAAATTCAGGTGTTAGGGCTAACGACCTCAGTGCAGGAATGGTAACTTATTTAACGGGATTTCTAAGTGTCCGTTGCATGTGCGGATGGGTGACATCAAGTCACGCTCCTGGCCCTCCAGCTCAGGGCACTTGCTTCAAGCCCTGGAGGAGCCTGTCCTCCTCTGGCAGGAAACCACCCCTTTCTGTGA